GCAGAGCTACATTAGCTCCATGCACCGGTGCAGAGCTACGTTAGCTCCATGCACCGGTGCAGAGCTACGTTAGCTCCATGCACCGGTGCAGAGCTACGTTAGCTCCTTGCACCGGTGCAGAGCTACGTTAGCTCCTTGCACCGGTGCAGAGCTACGTTAGCTCCATGCACCGGTGCAGAGCTACGTTAGCTCCATGCACCGGTGCAGAGCTACGTTAGCTCCTTGCACCGGTGCAGAGCTACGTTAGCTCCTTGCACCGGTGCAGAGCTACGTTAGCTCCATGCACCGGTGCAGAGCTACGTTAGCTCCATGCACCGGTGCAGAGCTACGTTAGCTCCTTGCACCGGTGCAGAGCTACGTTAGCTCCTTGCACCGGTGCAGAGCTACGTTAGCTCCATGCACCGGTGCAGAGCTACGTTAGCTCCATGCACCGGTGCAGAGCTACGTTAGCTCCTTGCACCGGTGCAGAGCTACGTTAGCTCCTTGCACCGGTGCAGCTTTGAAAGGGAGCAGGTGTGTGCTACGACTGGGATGAAAATTCAGCCCTGTAACATCTTTATGAGTCCAGCCATCTGAACTTGAGGTGGTGGCGGATCTCTCATGAACTTCGTTCTCCGAATGGTGGAAGCAGTGCTTAAAGTGGAAATAAGTGTTGTTACTCCCCTTAGAAAAATCATTGTTAATCTGCTCTTATTATGAAACTACACCACCTGCAATTTTCAAACCTGGACTGGATTACTCTAGAACGGTGTCCCTCAATAGGTGGCCCACAATCCGGCCCTGGCCCGCGAACCTTTGCTTTAAAACCCTGAAGCTGCAATTCACGTTATAGAGGCAGAGCCATCAATCCATCCATCCATTTACAGCCACTTATACGGGGTCAAGTCACGAGGGCAGCAGCCTAAGCAGGGAGGTTCATGCTCCCCTCTCCCCAGCCACTTGGGCCAGCTCTTCCGGGGGAGTCCCAAGGTGTTTCCTGGCCAGGTGAGAGACATAGTCCCTCCACCGTGTCCTGGGTCTTCCCTTGGGTCTCCTCCCGGTTGGACGTGCCCAGAAACCCTCCCCAGGGAGGCGTCCAGGAGGCATCCTGACCAGATGCTCAAGCCACCTCAACTGGCTCCTCTCGATGTGGAGGAACAGCGGGTCTACTCCGAGCCCCTCCTGGATGACCAAGCCCGGCAGCCACTCTTTGGAGAAAACTCTTTTCAGCCGCTTGTATCCGTGATCTCGTTCTTTCGGTCACTGCCCAAAGCTCATGACCACAGGTGAGGGTAGGAACGTAGATCGACCGGTAAATCGAGAGCTTCGTCTTCTGACTCAGCTCTCTCTTCACCACGACAGACCGGTACAACGTCCGCATCACTGCAGACGCAGCACCAATCCACCTATTGATCTCACGCTCCAGTTTTCCCTCACTCGTGAACAAGACTCCGAGATACTTAAACTCCTCCACTTGGGGCAGGACCTCATCCCTGACCCGGAGAAGGCGTTCTACCCTTTTCTGACTCAAGACCTTGGTCTCAGATTTAGAGGAGCTGATTCTCATCCCAGCTGCTTCACACTCGGCTAAGGATATGAATCATCAATATTATTGAACCTTTAATATCCGACTTTGGCTAACGCCAGCAAACCAACACTTATTCGACACAGAAGCAAAAATGTAGTTTATAAAATTATTCACTATAATTCTACGGCTAATGATCGCACCGAGTAAGTGTAGATAAATGATCATCCAAGAACCAAACTACTGAAACGTGATCTTGGATGTTATTAAGAGTCTAATTAGAAATAGATGTGAAGTCTGGGATTACAAGAATAATCTGGCTGCATTTGGTGATGTCTGATTGGTCTACGCACCAGTGGTGAGAGCTCCTGGGATCTCCAGCTGGCAAAGCCAAGTCGTCTCGACCAGGCGGAGGAGTGGGATTTACTCCTGGGGTACTCAAAGGTCGTAGACCCCTTGACCCCCGTCGGCTGGTCTGGGACCCCTCTGGTTCACCTCTGCTGGACGCTGACGGGTCGTTTTATGTCTGATGCAGTTGATGCAGGTTAAAACAGATAATGGTTGTTTGGTTCTGCCTCTAGAAGATGTTCTGTTGTGAGATCAAGAGGTGTTCATGTAGCGTTGTCCCTGGAGAGAGTCCATCTTTTAAGGTCCGTGTTGGACCAATCAGAGAGCAGAAGAAATGTGGGCGGCGTTATGAAGGTCCCCTGACATCACATGTGTTGCTAAGAAGTATTTCACTTACTGTGGATGTAAATGTGATGTAACTGTCCTTGTTAATGTGCTGACATTAAAATGTGACGTGACTGATGACAAAATCAGCGCCAACCCATCCACTAGATCCGTTTGGTGTGTTTAAAATCTGAAATAATGCATTTCAACAGTTTACAGTTATTTAGATTCTTTCTTACTGTCAAGTCATCAAGTCCTATTAAAGCCACCTTAGATACAACGGTCAGTGGTCTGTGATTGTAATCAGTCTGTAGAGGGATAAAATCATTGATCCTTTTATGAGGGTCAAAGGTCTTCTGCTGGAGTCTTGTGCTTCGCAGCACAAGATGAGGCAGCAGGAGAGGAGCTGTTATGATGGTGAGGCCATACAGCATCTGTTCTGATGACTGATGAAGATGGCTGGGCGTTGGAATGAGCTTTAGGCACGCACGGCCTTTCTCGTGCATTAGATTAGATTAGATTAGATATCCTTTATTGTCATTAAATGATTGCACATTCAACGAAATTTCCTAGAGCTCCACATTAGGCATCTGCTAAAAATACTAAGAAAAATAGCTAAAACAAGTACAATATGCACCATGCAATAAAAACAAAGACATTACAAAATACAATAAATAATATCAATAGGGTTGATTTTTCTGTCCATTCAGGGTTCTAACAGCCCAGGGAAAGAAACTCTTCCTCAGTCTGTCGGTCCTGCAGCTGAGGGATCTGAACCTTTTCCCAGAGGGCAGCATGGCAAAAAGGTAGTGGTTTGGGTGGTAAATGTCCCTGGAGATGGTCCTTGCTCTAGTGAGACACCTCTGCAGGGCGATAGTGTCCAAGGAGCGAAGGGTGCATCCAATCACCTTTTCCGCCGCTCTAATGACCCTCTGGTATCTGTTTTTATCAGCTACTGTGCACCCCGCGTACCACACAGGGATAGCGTAAGTCATCACGCTCTCAATAATTGCTCTATAAAAAGACACCAAGAGGTTGGTCTGCAGCCTGTTCCACTTCAGGACTGTCAGGAAGTGCAGCCGCTGTTGTGCTTTTTTGACCAAGGCAGTGGTATTGATTGTCCATGACAGATCCTCAGAGATGTAAATCCTGAGAAACTTAAAGGAGGGAACTCTCTCCACCTCAGCTCCTTTAATGCAGAGAGGGCGGGGGGCATCCTTACTTCTTCGGAAGTCAATAACCATCTCCTTGGTCTTCTTGATGTTAAGAGAGAGGTTATGATCATCACACCATTCTGATAAATGGCAAACCTCATCTCTGTATGCTGCGTCATCGTTGTTATGGATAAGACCTACTAGAGTGGTGTCATCTGCAAACTTAATGATCTTATTAGAGCGATGAATAGGAATGCAGTCATGGGTGTAGATGGTGAACAGCAGGGGGCTTAGCACACAGCCCTGAGGGGCTGCATTAGCTAATACCTTCTACAGATCTGGTGATCACTAAACACTGATGTCCATCGAAATGTGGCTGAAGATTCATGAAAGGATGAACAATCGCTGCAAACTATCGGCGGCTCCATAACGTATAAGCATAAACCCAGGTCTAAAGTACAGGGGGGGGGGGGGGGGGTCCTAGCATCTTCAGACATGCATGCACGCACGCACACATGCACACACAGGCTCTCATGAAGCTGTACTGGTGGAGGACACAGGGCTGACGGCTCTTCTCACGGTGGTCCCACACCTGGTGGACCCACACCTGGTGGACCCCTGTTCCCACAGCTGGACCACCTGGATCAGGTGTTGGACACTGGTCCTGCTGGATCTTGAAGTCTTCGTCTCATATGTAGTGGGATTTTGGTATCAAGTGACAAGAGGAACGTTGTGACCATTAGAAGTCCATCTGCAACCTGAGGCAGCAAACCCAACAGTTATCTGTTCTGGTCTAGTTTCAGCTCCGCCCCCTTCCATCACTGCTGCACATGGACACGCCCCAAAAACCAGACCAGCTCATGTCCCAAACAAATAATTTAATATATATGTATTTGTGTTCATGTACACGGGTTAATGAGGTCACTTTACAGCAGGTACAAAACTGGTGCACACACACGCACACACACGCACACACACACACACACACACACCAGGAAAACATCTGGCGTACGTCCATGTAGCTGCCTGAAACACATACAAGTACATACACACACACACACACACACACACACACACACACACCAGGCCTGTGTTTACGCCGTTGTCTGGAGGCTTCTCGGGGATCACGGGGAATGAAGACCAGGACGGGTTTAGCCGGATTAAACCACCACTGTGTGACGGCGCCCGGCCCCCGTCTTGTCCTGTGGGTTTCGAACCGGTTTCCTCGGCACCACAGAGGAGCCCGAAGCTGGGGGGAGGAGAAGGGTCTCTGAACCAGAACCTACAGTTGGTCCTGGTCCAGGCTCATGGACTCTGATCACCTCCGCCCCATCTGCCTTTGCATCTCTGACTTGGTCCTGGTTCCAGTCCAGCTCCAGCTCCACATTCATGGATCTGGCCCTCCCAACCCGGGTCATCCTGTAGTGGACTGAAGCAGCCTGTCTCTGGTCTGGCTGCTGCTGCAGTTGGGGGCAGATCCAGTGGGGAATGGAGGGACGTCCTCTACTCTTTAGGTGCAATGTGGTGTTGGGGGCGGGGCTCTGGTTTGGCCGAAGCCACCAAGCTGAAGTGGTTTTGCCAGATTCGGTCCTCGCACCTGTTTCTGTCCTTCCTTCTTTTCCATCTTCAGCATCTGCAACCTTTTCCTTCTGTGGTCCTTCATCTGCCCTAGAACATGTATGTTCCTCCACCACACCATCCTCACCCCCATAGTTGGTGGCTTTGACCGGTTCGTGGTCTGAGTCCTCGTCAGCGCGGGTGCTGACGCCTTTCTTACGTTTTCGAGTCATAGCAGAGATGATGGTCCTGGACAGGAAGTCCCGGGCAGAGTGGTCTTTTCTGGAGCCAGAAGAATTCTAACGGGTTGAATAAAAACACTCATCGGTTTACAGTTCAAAAGACAGAATTAGTGTCCAGGAAGGAGGCGACTTTACCTTCGAATTAACAGAGCCGCTGGTGGTGGACTCTAACGGAGAGATGGAAACCAAGTCAGAACCACGTTTGAGAGGGTTGGAGACACACACACACACACACACACACACACACACACACACACACACACACACACACACACACACACACACACACAGGAGGAGGAAGACCTGGCCCTACCGCAGAGGCTGATCCAGGGTCTCTGCTAGAGACGGAGAGCAGAGGAGGCCAAAGGAGAGAAGGCGAGAAACAAGTGGAAACTTTGTGAGTATCAACAGGAAGTTAGTTCACAAACACAGACAGACGAGGAAAAGAGGGCTGAGACACTTCCTGTCCCAGAACTCGTCAGAGCTTTCAGAGCCAACTGCAAACAAAGGCTGGTTGTGTGCAGAGCATGATGGGAAGCATTGGAAGATACTGGATACAAGCAGCTTTACAGGCCAGGTTGTTGTCCAGGGAGGATCCATGGAAGCTCCTCATCAGAAGCTCTCCTGGTCATTTCCCACTGGGAGGAGACCCCCGGTAAAACCCAGAAGTCGTGGGAGGGATTAGATGTCTTCCCTAACCTGTGGATGCCCCAGAGGCCGGTGGAGGAAGGGTGGACCAGCTACATGTGCAACCCCACACTGAGGGCTCCAGTTCAGTTACAAGAACATCTGTATCTCTCTCATGCTCCAACACATCTGCAGGGGTCTCTGGTGCTTCTGTTTCAGGAACTAGAAGTGACCAGAACACGGTTGGATCTGGAGTCTTACTTCCTGATATTGTGATATTCTATATCTCTTCTGATTGGCTAACAGCAACACGACTGCTCTGCAGTGTTGATGTTTTATCTCCACAAATAACACAAGCCTGCAGGAGTTGTGCTGTGCGGTGGAGGTGCTAATGCTAACAGTTAGCTCCTACTAGCATAGACATTCTCTGCTGTTTCCTGGATGCTAAACCAACAATAGCCTTTCTCCTGGGTCACGGGTGAGTGAGGAAACCAGACTCTGGCTGCACTCCGGTACCGTAGGTGGCGTTGACATGCTTCTGGTTAGCGTATAGCAACACAAACGCTTCTGTCTAGACTTCTAGTCTATGCGGCTTCCACGTTCATGCACCGGCTGTGGTCTGGTTTAGTTCGAAGCTCCAGAAAGTTTCTACATGGAGTCCATTTCTTCTAGATGCTGCATGACGATCATCATGAAGCTAAAGAAATGACACAAGCCAGACAGGAAGTGAGGTGTGCTTCAGCAGGGTACATCCGGTATGTTTCAAAATAAAACCTGCATTGCATTACCCCTGCAGGATATCAGTTCACAGTCTCTTGATAGGTTTCCCATTAACCCTCCTACTGTCCTAATGGCTGTGACCCTACGAGGAAAGTTGACCATTGAGCAGGAATGAGGGTTTATCCCTTGAGGTCCATGTGGCAGCAGTGAGGAGTGAGCACCACCTCACCCCTGCCACGTGGACCTCAAGGGATAAACCATCAATCCTGCTCAATGGTCAACTTTCCTTGCGGGGTCATCCATGAAGAAAGTGGGTGGGTTAAACCTATTAAGTCACATTTCTACCCCAGTGATCCCCAACCCTGTCCTCAGGGCACACGCATCTCCAGGTCTCTGCTTCAGCACACCTGATTTACATTGCCTCCTCAGGAGGACATCCAGTGCTGCAGAGAATCACTCTTGCAGCAGACTCAGGCCAGATTTCCATCCTCATCCTACTCGATCTCAGTGCAGCATTTGACACCATCTCACACACAGTTCTACTCCATAGACTATCCACCATCGGCATTTCAAAAACTCCTCTAAATTGGTTCAAATCTTATCTATCTAATCGCACTCAATTTGTCCAACTGTGCACCTTCCACTCTAACCCCAAGCCAGTTACCTTTGGAGTTCCTCAGGGCTCAGTCTTAGGTCCCCTTCTCTTCATAATCTACTTACTCCCACTTGGCAATATCTTCAGGAAATTTAATATTCATTTTCACTGCTACGCCGATGACACCCAGCTCTACTTCTCTACCCAACCAAAACCCCCGCTCCCTTCATCCTCCCTTCTCAGTTGCCTCACCGAAGTCAAATCCTGGTTTTCTGCTAACTTTCTACAGCTCAACAGTAATAAGACTGAAATCCTCCTCACTGACACCAAGTCATCTCTGTCCAAGACATGTTCATTCTCACTCAGCTTCGACAACACCACACTTCTCCCCACCGCCAAAGCTAAGAGCTTGGGTACCATCTTAGACAACACCTTATCCTTCATTCCTCATATTATCAACACAATAAAAGCTGCTTATTTTCATCTTCGCAGTATCAATCGGCTCCGCCCCTCCCTCAGTCAGCACTCCGCTGCTATTTTGGTCCACAGCCTGGTCACTAGTCGCATCGATTACTGTAATGCCCTCCTCTCCGGTCTCCCTCTAAAATCACTCAAGTTACAGTTAGTCCAAAATTCAGCTGCCTGGAGAATCACCAAGACCTCCACTTTTGATCACATCACCCCTGTCCTGCAGCAACTTCACTGGCTCCCTGTCAAATACAGAATTGACTACAAGATACTTCTTCATGCCTTTAAAGCCATCCATAATCTCGCTCCCCCATATCTTTCTAATCTCCTCCACATTGTCACTCCCACTCGCTCTCTCCGATCATCATCTTCACCTTCCCTGTCTGTTCCTCGCACTCGTCTTAGTACTATGGAGCCAGAGCTTTCAGCCACTCAGCTCCAAAACTCTGGAACGCTCTACCGCCTGACCTCCGCAATATAAACTCCTTCTCAACCTTCAAGTCTCAACTCAAAACTCACATGTTCCACCTGGCTTACTCACTGTAACTGTCCTCCTTCCATATACTCTTTTTAGTCTATTATCCATTGTACTGCTCCGACTCTACCTTTGGGAATTACTCTTAGCACTTATTTCTTGTTGTTTGAATTGCTTGCTTGTTATATTTTGGCTTGTACAGTGACCTTAAGAGCTTCGAAAAGCGCTTGAAATAAAATGTATTGTTATTATTATTATTCATTCATCTGAGTCCAGGTGTGTGGCAGCAGGGGCATGCTGGTGTTTACCATGAGGACCAGGGCTGGGGATCACTGTTCTAACCGTTTGGTGCTCCTGTGGGAGCAGATGTCTGGAGACGTTCAGCACACAAACCACAGCCGGTGTGAATGAAGAAGTAGAAGAAAATATCATTTCTATAGCGCCTCTCAAGATAAAAATCACGAGGCGCTTATGGTAGTCTGTCTGGACTGCCTCCGTACTTCGGTCTGTGAGAAATGGGCTTCTGCCTCCCAGGTTAGGCCTACTCCAAGAGAGGAGCGTCTGGATGATCGCTGAATCTGGAATCGATCCTGGCCGTGGCATTGCAGACCATCTCTTTGGCCTTGATAGTGTACTGGAGGGGATATGGTTCATATGCTGATGAGATGACAGACCTGTTGGAAACGCAACGTCGTTCGTGTTAGCAGCCTTCCACCCAAACTCCAGGGCGGAGCTGCTCACAGGAAGTGATGCAGAAGGTTACTCTCCGCTCTCATGGGTATGCGGTAGGCCGAGGTTTGTTTCATGATTAATATCCTTGTAACGAGTCAGACCTAGTCACCTGGACTCAGAGAGCTGCTGATCAGAATGACATCATTCATGCATCTCCATCAAGCAGAAGAACTGGGATTCAGGATGTGTTGTTCGTCCCATGGTCCTAGGGTGGTGGTGGGGGCAACACACTTGCCATCCTTGCGTTTGAAAATAAAAACCAACTAAATATTTAAAGTGGTTTTATGACGACTCGGGATTGTGTGAGCAGGAACTACACATCTGGTGACGCCAGCATGGTTTGAGATGAGTGGTATCTGCCACCAAAGAGGACAAACGGTTTCTTAAAGAAATCCACAGACTGGGACCGAGGCTGCCTTCGGCTGGAAACACCGGACCAATAATGGGACCGTCCATCAGCTGTAGAACACCAGTCTGTGATTGGATGAGCTGTTTAGTGGACTCGCCCTTACCTGACGCCTCTCTAGGCATACCCGGTCTGCCAATGTTGGTCAGCAGGTGGTCGATGTTGGGGACAGGCTGCATGTCCCACTTGTCCTCTGGTGCCTGTGGACACAAACTCAACATAAATGATCCAAGCCACCCAGTGAACAGCTGATGTGGACAACGTACCGCTGCCTCCTGGCGAAGCTCTCCATTGCTGAAGAACCAGTGGTACTGTAGGACAACACAGACGTGTTACATGAGGGACTCTACAGGCAGCTTAAAGGCAGCAGGTTCTGAGGGAAGGCTTACGTGGAGGATCAGCGTCTCCACTATTTTGTAACGATCAGGCATGTGTGTGACCATGTCAGTCATGTTGTCCTCTGATGTCCTCACAAGGGTGGGGCCAAACACAAGAGCTATGTTCCTTGGTTCCATCTGGAAAGAGGGTCAACACTTGAGGGGTTTTCCTTCACCACACTGACTCCAGAACTAACCCAGAACCAGCTCTGGTAGAAAAATAAAAGCACAAAGCACCCTCACACACCCTCGGAGGCACTAACATCACCACCAGCTGCCTGGGCCAGAGCCTTCATCAGCTCTGGGACAACAGGTGAGTTTACCTTGTTCTTCTCAGAGTGGTCTGCCACCCTCTTCAGGTGGCCTACCAGGAACTTGAGGGTGTGGTAATAGTGATTTGGGAGGTCATGGATCTGAAAGAAAGCAGAGAATCAATCCAAACAAGAACAAGTCTGCTTAAAGATGTGAAACAGGAAGGAGTTGGAACGCACCAGCTTCTTCATGGCCTTCAGTCGCTCTTCTCCATCCTCTACCCTGTTAGCCTCAATGAAGTCGTTGTACTTGTCTGCACAGTGAAGGTTTTATAAAGGTTACGTTAGGAACGCTGTCATTCTCAACAGATACAGGGTCTTCTGCTCTCACCATCGGTGAACAGAGGCTCAGGCAGCTTTCTGAAGAAGGACTTAAGCAAGCTGCTGATCACGTTGAGGTCCTGCCATCGCTGTGAAGACACACATAACCTCATCCACAGGAACACAACCCATCTGTGATTTTAAACTGGTGAGGACATGAGCCTTGCACACCTCCTCAGCTGTGTTGAGGTCCAGGCCCTTGTTGAGGTGCTCCTGCAGGTTGGACACCAAGGCGTTGTTCCCTGGTACACGGTAGATCCCCGTGTACTCCAGACCCGTGGCCTCCACCACACCGCAGCACATCTCCACAATCAGAGGGACAAACTGTAGGAAGGAAAGCAGCTGCTGTTGCTGAGGAACTCTCTGGCTCAGACAGAACCACCACTCCATGTGTCTACTGTCACCAGGTTGCCGGTTTACTACCCGGCCTGCACTACAAACCACTCGTGTGCAGCAAGTCTCTTTACTTTATGATTAACAGCAGGCTGACAGTCCTCCAGTCGCACTCCGAAGGCTTTTGGACTTCCTGTTTTCTTGGTCTTCTTCATGATGCTGATGCCCCACAATGCCTTGC